GATAGTATAGTGGGCAGTGTGGTATCTGCTCTGGCTCAGCTAAGTGATAGGAGATATTGCTTAGTGTGGAGATTAGAAGGCTAATCTCATTTTGTAAACTCGCTTTTACTTTTGCTTGGAGAAGATTAGTGAAAGCAGTTTGAAAAGTCTTGGCAGGCCAGGTCGTGGTTTTACTCCCTTGAGCAAGGAGGTTTCCACGTAAAGTTGTTTGTGCAATCTTTACTTTCAGTATTTATTTTACTGTTTGTTATTGTGACTGTGTTGAGGACTTGGTCCTATCGATATTTGTGGACGCATACATTTCAACAGAGGGAGTTGCTCAGATGACAAGTACCCCTTAGGGACCACAGTAACGACTTCTTTTTTCAGTTTTAAATACTACAGTAGTATATATCAGTGCACTAAATATCATTGCAAAATAAAATTGTTTCAGTTGTAATTTATCTTTACTCAAATGGAATGTAGCATGAAAAGATTCTAATTTCTCTGCTCTTATACATGTAAGGTGTAAGTTACATAAATACAATTATTATTATTTTACATTCAACTGTGCAACACTATCATAGTATTATTTAGAAATTAGGTACATATCAATCTCTATAGTAAACTTAGACTGATTATTCAATAAGTAAATTACCTTAAGTAAAATGAATTATGTTGGTATGGTAAAACTGTCTTTACCGTCTATTTCAATTTGTGTTTAGTTTAACTTGACACAAAATTTAAGAAGATAAAAAAAGAGTTTTGAATCTTGTGATGTAACATAACGAAATATCTTTTAATTTTATGATCTTTAACAAGCCACGTGAGATATTAATTTAAAAAAATTATCGAATTAAAAAAAAACGAATAAAGGAAAAAGTTGTAAAGAGGGGGAGTTGTTTGACTAAAAAATTTCATCTGGGCCCCTTCGTAGATCTAAATAAGGCCCGCGTTAGGCAAAACGGGCCTCGCGGGAAACATAAATAAAAGCCCATTACGACCAAAATTTACGCGCCTTATTTTTGGTGCGTGCGAATATTTAAAACTTGTTTTTTTTCTCTTACTACTTTCCCTTTTCTCTTTTTTACTTTTTTTTCCTTTTGATTTTATCGGGAAGTAAAGAGCAAATTGTGCTGTTCCTTTTTGGCATTCTTTACTCTTTATTCTTGGAGACTAGCGACTTGTCACTGCCTCACTTTGGCTTTGGCTCTTCCAAATCTGTCTCTTTCTTTTTCCAGTTCAGAACAACACCCCACCCCCACCAAATCTCAACCCCCTTGCAGTCACTTTGTCAGTATATATATATAGTTGTATGTATAATTTGCTGTATGAGATATTCAGAGAGAGATTAAGAGTTGTACATGCTCAAAGATTCAATCTTTACTTTGTTTTTTTGTTTTCCCATATTAGAGGTTCTTAGATCCACCTTAATCTTGGATTCTTGTTTTTGCTGAGGCAAGAAAAGATTCCATTTTTTTCAAAGGGTCTTTGTGTATTCAGTCTTGGTTGCTATTTGTGGCTATTTGGGTGTCTTGTCAGCTAAAGATTTGGCCTTTATCTTTTTTCTGTCTGGGTAATTTGTCATCATCTTTCTGTTTATTGTACAATTCTTGAACAAATTGCTGCTTTAAGCAACAGCCAGCTTGCTGCAAGGCTGCAACCTCTAATGCTTTGAAAGAAGTCTTTTATTTTTGAGACGGTGAAAAAATTTAAGTAGTTCCAACTTTGGTTTTTCTTGGAATGTGCTCAAGATGATCTGTTTATTTAGTGAAGTTAGAAGAGTGCAAAGATTGGATTTTGGGCATACCCATTTGAAAATGTCATGGATTCACCATAAGAAAGGTGGTGTCTTTGCATATGCCCCTTCTCTATCTCCCACATCTCACTCTTCATTTGGTGCAAATTCTAATTTTCACAAAGCCCCAAGCCTTTCTCCATCTTCTTCTGGGAACAAAATTAGTCCAGCTGTTCTTATCATTATAGTCATATTAGCTGTTATCTTTTTCATATCAGGTCTTCTCCACTTGCTTGTTAGATTTATTATCAAACACCCTTCTTCTTCTTCTTCTTCACCATCATCATCTCAGTCTAATAGACAGCCAGAAGTTTCTAGCTCTGAGGCCTTGCAAAGACAATTGCAGCAGCTTTTCCATCAACATGAGTCTGGTCTTGATCAAGCTTTTATTGATGCATTACCTGTCTTTGTGTACAAAGAAGTTGTTGTTGGTCCTACTAAAGAGCCCTTTGATTGTGCTGTTTGTTTGTGTGAATTCTCTGAAAAGGACAAGTTGAGATTACTCCCTACTTGCAGCCATGCTTTCCATATCAACTGCATAGATACATGGCTCTTAACAAACTCAACTTGCCCCTTATGTAGAGGAACCCTTTTTGATCCCGGATTCTTAACAGGTTTTGATTTTGATAGCCCCATAGAAGAAGATGGATGTGCTGGTAATAGAGATCATGTGTTGTCTGCTGCTCAGAAAACAATTGAAATTGAGGAAGTTGCAGTTGATAAAGCAACATTTCCTGTGAGACTTGGTAAGTTTAAAAAATTGAATGTTGGTGCAGAGGAGGGAGAAGGAGAAGGAGAAGGAGAGAGTAGTAGTAGTAATTTGGATGCTAGGAGATGCTATTCATTGGGTTCATATCAGTATGTGGTGGGTGATTTTAATCTTATGGTAGACTTGAGCAGTGAGCAAAACGCGTACAATGTGAAGCTTGCCAAGTTGCGTGAACGTTGTGCTAATTTATCAATAGAAGGTGATGGGGATGGGAAAAGGATAGGCATTGGAACGAAGACGGATAGCTATTCTTTTTCCAAGATTTGGCTTTGGTCTAAGAAAGGGAAATTTGCAAGTTCTTCAGAATGTCAATTGGAGAATCCGCGTCCTAATATGGACTTAACATGGTTGGCAAAAACAGAAGACAGTTAAAGGACATTATGGTTTGGTTTCTTTGTTGATCTTTTTGTTATCTGATGGCATAGAGGTACTGGAATTCTTTGATATGCTACATATTAACAATCTGAGATTGAAGAATCGATACATTCTTGTATGCTGTGATTGCTTGTATTTGTATTTTATCTCTTGAAGTCCTACAACATAGTCATCTCTGAGCAGAGTTTCTATCAGAAACAACCTCCCTACCCTTACTATGTAGAAGTAAGGTTTGCGTACACTCCACCTCTTCAGACCCACATGTGGGATTATATTGAATATGTTGTTGTTGAATCTTGAAATGTTAATTACTCTATTAGACACGAGTCACTCGACACTGGCTTCTTTGCTGCATCCTGATACTTGCAGTTGCCAAATTTACTTCATATCAATATGGTTGAGAAGCATTCTTGTAATCAGAAGTATGAGGTACTATCTTTAGCCATGATGAGCTAGGATTAGAGATGATGCACAATATGTATTGCCTGTGTTACAAACAACCTTAAACATGTCTAGAAATTGGAATATAACCCCTTTAGAAGTGTCCTGTCTGTCCTCAACCATATAAAGCTTGTGTGCTGTTTAATGTTTTTAAAAGTAAAATGGAATGCTAGATTCTGAGAACAATTGACTGCTATATTTTCCACATAGTTCTAAACAATCTTTGAGTCTCAGCCTCTCAGGAAAGTGAAACTCCACTAGGTTATCTTGATTCCTAGTAAATGAAAGAAAGATTTTCTTTTTTTCCATGAAGCATCTTGATTGATTTAGCAGGTGTGTGTGGTGGGGGGGGGGGGGGGGGTTTTTT